GCAAAAAATAAATTTTAATATTACATCCAATAGGATGCACTTCAATCATGTCGAAAAGCTCATGTAATTTTTATGGCCACAAAAAGTTAGCGCCGGTGGTGTAGTGGTAAGCGTGATTACCTCTCACCCCAGCAGGCCTGGATTCAATCCCAGTCGGCGCCGCCGGGATGTTCTGAGGCATAACATCTCTGATCACGCCTTCCTTCGGAAGGGAAGTAAAGTCGTTGGTCCCCGGTTCATGAGTTGATGGGTCGATAGGGTAGGGTCCAGGTGTGGGAGCTGCCTCCCTGGCGTCGATAACATTGGTGCTCAGCACGGAAAACAATATCGACGGAAAACAAATCAAGGAAAAAAATGGCCACAAAAATAAACAAATGTAGTAAAAGCAGCGTAATGTCAGTTCATGCACTGTATTAATGATAATTAATAAATAAGGTAACTCTAAGACTAGAAGGTTCCAAAATAAAGTTGTTGGTACTACCAACAATCAATACGAAACTAACGATTTTAAATTGGCTCACCACTTTAGTAGCCTATTGGTCCCAAGCAAACGATTAACGTGCCCTATTCTAGTTGAAATTCTATTACTACACTATGTTTGTTTTGATTCGCTATGAAAGTTTGACAGATAACATCAGGGGTGTGTGGATTCATGCAGAACATGCAGGGGTGAGTGAAATAGCTTGGGACTGCTTGGGACCGTTGTTCTGGTACTGAGTGAGCCAAAAATAATAATGATTTTCTTCGGGACCCAGTGGTCTTAGCAACCGGTGAACACTCCGTGTTTATTTCAGTTACCATGGAGACGTAATTTGTGATTAGCCCCGGTCCCTTTCAAATTGTATCGTTATTTATGAACGGCCTTATATTTGAAATGACGTTTCACATTCATCTAGTGATGTCCGATTTTCATTCGAATAATCGATTAATCGATTAACGAACCGAAAAGTAAACTATTTATAATCGGTTAGATCATGCCGATATAAGCATCAACATCTCCACAGGATCATCACCGATCGTTTCAAACATGTGCTGCACTCTCTCTGGTGGAAAAATGGCAGCACAGCGAACAAAAAATAATCGATTAGTTGTTAATCGAGTAATTAAAAAATGGGACATCTCTGATTTTGGTGTGATTGTTTTGATAAAAATGAGCGCAAAATTTCATCTCTTCCGAGGGGGCAGCAAAACCACAAAATTACCTTGAATACGGGGGGTTCTCATTGGATGAAAGGGACCTTGAAAGAAGACACTAAAATAGAAAGTTTTTCTTCCGACAGTTTCATCTTAGTATTCATCTTTGGTCTTAGAGTTACTTCTATGGTACCACAAACGAAGTGACAGACGGAGCGGCTCGAAAACTTTGGTGACTAACCTGCTATTGCAATTTTTCAGTGTACCACATGGCAACACCACTACTACTGGATTGTACCATAGAGGTAACTCTAAGACTAGAAGGTCCCGAAATAACGTGCTCAACTTTTTGGCTCAGCTCTGGTACTCTCTTCGGTCCCAAGCTAATCGATTCACCCCTCGAAACAGAGGAACAACCAATAACCCCTCATTTTATCTGTCAAACTTTCATAGTGAATCAAAACAAACATTGCGTAGTACTAGAATTTCGACTTGAATGGGGTTCGTTAATCGTTTGCTTGGGACCAATAGGCTAGTCAAGTAGTGAGCCAATTTAAAATCGTTAGTTTCGTATTGATTGTTGATTGTACCACATGGCAACACTACTACCAACAATCAATACGAAACTAACGATTTTAAATTGGCTCACTACTTGACTAGCCTATTGGTCCCAAGCAAACGATAAACGTACCCCATTCTAGTCGAAATTCTAGTACTACACAATGTTTGTTTTGATTCGCTATGAAAGTTTGACAGATAAAATGAGGGGTTAGTGGATTTTCCTATGTTTCGAGGGGTGAATCATTTAGCTTGGGACCGAAGACAGTACCAGAGCTGAGCCAAAAAGTTGAGCACGTTTCTTCGGGACCTTCTAGTCTTAGAGTTACCTCTATGCTACTACTAGATTGAACTAGCATTTTCACCAAATGTACTAGACTGTTTTGGTTCTATCTCTTTCACTCTACTCAAAACTGAAATGCATGAAAAAATGACAAAATGATACGCACTCTTTGCACACTGTCAAAGAATCATTGTACACAAAATCAACTTTGTTCAAATCAAAACAAAAAACTAACCCATCTGGTGGATGATGGCACAAGCTTCCAAGAAAATTCTATTACAGTGAACCACATTATTTAAATGGATTTCTTCGCCAGTTAGTCGTCTGTCACTTCGTTTGTGATCGAGGGGGGCGACTCTATCTACGATGCAGAAAAGATTGTGTTTTGTTGTGGCTAGCTGCACGTACGCTGAGTAGATAGAAGGAAGATTTATGTCGATTTTGAAGATTTCCTGCGAAAATTTGAAGCACGGTGCAAGTAGATGCGCAAAATGATAGATGATTTTTCGAAGATTGATTCGCTAGTGTGAGATTTTTTGAGCATCTAGAATTGAGATTTAGATGTGTCGCCCCCCTCGTTTGTGATGGTACTACCAACAATCAATACGAAACTAACGATTTTAAATTGGCTCACCACTTTAGTAGCCTATTGGTCCCAAGCAAACGATTAACGTACCCTATTCTAGTTGAAATTCTATTACTACACTATGTTTGTTTTGATTCGCTATGAAAGTTTGACAGATAACATCAGGGGTGTGTGGATTCATGCAGAACATGCAGGGGTGAGTGAAATAGCTTGGGACTGCTTGGGACCGTTGTTCTGGTACTGAGTGAGCCAAAAATAATAATGATTTTCTTCGGGACCCAGTGGTCTTAGAGTTACCTCTATGATAGTACCAGAGCTGAGCCAAAAAGTTGAGCACGTATTTTCGGGACCTTCTGGTCTTAGAGTTACCTCTATGGTACCACCATAGAGGTAACTCTAAGACCACTGGGTCCCAAAGAAAATCATTATTATTTTTGGCTCACTCAGTACCAGAACAACGGTCCCAAGCAGTCCCAAGCTATTTCACTCACCCCTGCATGTTCTGCATGAATCCACACACCCCTGATGTTAATAGTCAAACTTTCATAGCGAATCAAAACAAACATAGTGTAGTAATAGAATTTCAACTAGAATAGGGTACGTTAATCGTTTGCTTGGGACCAATAGGCTACTAAAGTGGTGAGCCAATTTAAAATCGTTAGTTTCGTATTGATTGTTGGTACCACTGTAGCACCTTCCGGCAGTAGTGGCAGCTTGCCAAATCTGGCCAGAACTTCAATAAACCTTTGTGAGCCTTAATGAAAGGTAGTATACATTTCTCCATGCACTCGTTTGCTTATACAGCTTCGAGTCCATCGTTTTTTTCGTGATGGAAAGCTTGGTTTTGAATCCGCAGCTGCAAATTCCTTGCCGGATCATCAGTTTCCGGGTTTGTTGGAGTCATCGGCTTCCTATTCGAAAAAATCTGCTTCGGTTGTCAAACCGTTTCTCAGCTGTTTCAGACCTTAGATTGACAAATGTCCCGTCCGCTTGTATTACAGATCGATTGACTTTGTTGAGAGCCCTCGAGGGTTGCTGATTCAACTTGAAAAGTCCATTCGGTCGATGTCCAGTCGCGATTCGCTTACCATCTTGGTTGATCACCTCATAGCAAGACTGTTTGAAAGAAACGGTATGATATTTATCGACGATTTTACTTATCGGAAGCAAATTAGCAGCCAGCTCCCCAGTATTAGTTGAACTTCGTTGAAATCAATCCAAGGACTGAAATACTTTCCAGGAGACACCAGAAAAACATCTCAAGAAATTAATGAGGGAAATAATTAGAAATAAAAATACGGCTGGATGAAGTTGGAAGAAGCTTACGGGAAAAAAAGGGAAAAACCTCTTGGGAAGTCCGAAGACAATTTCAAGAAAGCCAGAATTCTGCATGTATCGTTAAACAGATATTAAAACATGATCATTCTGATTAACCTACCTGAGTACTGACTAATATTTCTCGATTTCCTGGAATTAGCGGGAAGAGTCACCTGCTGTTTCCCGAATTCAGGGTAATAAAAACAAATAAGAACTGGAAACACTGCTCAGAATTCAATACCATCGAAATTGTATTGGAAATCTCATCAGAACTCTCTAAAAATTAGTCTCAGAACTTATTTAGAACATTTATTAGAAATGGACCTGCAATCCTCTTCACAATCATCATGGAATTTCTCCTAGAACAACCTTAAACATCCACTCGCACCAACGGACTGGCCCTGATTTTTCTTACTCGTCTTGGATCGCTTCACCGTGACGGAGGACATCGGTGGGAAGAGTAGCGTACCTATTTGAAATAGGTACACTCGAGCTACCCTCACCACTGTTCTTCTCCGCTTTCTCACGGAGCCTGCTCCGGAGCGCTGTCTTCCCATCACACGATGCGACCGACACTACTGACGACGCGAATAAACGTTTGGAACAAACTAGAATATTTATCGAACAACTCGACAGAGCGAGCAAAAACCGGACTGAACTGCTTGCCGGTCAAACACTGAGTAATTACAACTACAAAAAAAGTAGTAGGTATTCATTTGTGAGTAACAAATACTCATAAATTGGTAATGTTTTTACTCATTTAATGGGTAGTCCCAGTCTCCCTCGAATATTCTAACTTTGTAGTCAATATCGAGTCTTTTAAAGTCATTATTTGGTATTTTGAGGTTACCGTGAAGAGCGCTTATGAAATGGACCTGGTGGAACGAATGGAAAATAATATTGTGTCATATAAATTTCACTCAGATCGTGTGAAATACATAATATGAATCGTATGAAAACATTACAAAAATAAAAATCCGCTTCATAAGATAGATCTTATGAAATTCATATGCTGAATTTGTTTGGTTTTCATATGCTGGTTTGACTAAGTTTAGCCAAAAAAAAAACAACCAATTTAGGAGTTTCTTTCGTCAAACCAAATGCTTTCAAGTTTGCATTAATTTTATATTCTAGAATTACATGACAGATACTTTTACAAGCCTATCCTCGCTGGAGTCCGCCTTGGCGTAGCCCCTGGGGTGATAATTTCCTGCTTAATCATCTGCTGCTGTTGCCGTTCCGTTTCCTCTTGCTTTTGCTTCACCATTTGTTCCTGTGCCTTCTGCATCTGCGATTCCATTTCATGCAAGTGTTCAGCAGCCTGACGATAATAGAGATAAGATGTTTATGGTTTCAGAACAAGGATTGTTGAAATAGTGCATTTACCTGCTTCCGCTTCTCGCGACTGCTTTTTCCGGTTTCCTTGACCGAAAAGAACATGGGACCGAGTTCTGCAAGCCAGAAGCCATCGACAGCGGTGGCACATTGCATATACTCTTTGGCCGTCATCACAAGCTCGTGGTATACCACGTAGTCGGGTGTAGTGCCCAGTCCATACAAAGCCGACGTCGGGTGCAAATAGCAAGGCATACCGGTTCTCAGATTCACATACTCGCCAATACCCTTCAACCGAGCAGCTTGGTAGAAGTAAGCCGAACAGATGCACTTGCGTACGATGTCCCAATTGGTGCCACAAGATTGCACCTTTAGGCGCTGTTGTACGTATATGTCCTTGAGCTGTTGACGGACTTCCCGAACCTTACGCATTGCTTTGATGTGAATGAAGTGTTCGTTACACCAATTAGAGGAGTATCTGCAAAAATGGATAATAAAGACATTCGTTAGAGTTTCATTCAAGATGATGACGCATTCTTTTTAATCATACTTGTTCATCTTCCACTGCTGGTACACGTTCAGGTATGTCAAGTGATCCGATTCCGGTACTTGAAACTTTTCTCGAACGCTATCCGCTTCTTCTTCTCTTCCTTTCGGACGGTAGAAAATTGATGGAACGGAAAGCATTGAAACTGAAATAAAGATTAGCAATTCAGTAATTGAACTTGAATTATCATAATAGAAAAGTAACTTACCAATGATTAAAATTTCCGCACTGCATCCCATCTGATTGGCGACGATCAACATCTGACACTGCGGTGGATCCAGCGGGAACTCCGCCATCTGCCGGCCGAGCGATGATAGTGCTCCAGTGTGATCCAAAGCTCCCAGAATCCAAAGTTGGTACAACGAATTCAGAATGTTGTCCTGAGGAGGTGGATCCATGAAGTGAAACTGAAGAAGATCTGCAACACCAAGCGATTTCAACAGGAGCACGGTGTTGGCTAGATTGGTACGTTGGATTTCAGGAACTGTCAGAGCGAGCAGCTCGTCCTTATACTGCCGCTCGGTATACAGACGGAAGGCTTGACCAGGGCCAGTTCTTCCAGCACGACCGGAACGTTGGTTTGCGTTTGCCTGCGAGATTGGGTAAATCTGAAGAGCGTCCATACCGATTCTGGGGTTATACACCTTGAGTTTACAGTACCCGGAATCGATGACGAAAATGATGCCATCCACAGTGAGCGAAGTTTCGGCGATGTTTGTTGCCACAATACATTTCCTGTTGCCCTCTGCCGAACGCTGGAAAATTTTCGCTTGCAGATCGGATGGGAGCTGAGAGTAGATCGGCAGAATAGACAACTCCGGAGCGTTTTCGATTTCCGTTAATCGCTCCGCTATTATCTCGCAAGTGACTTCGATATCTTCTTGACCAGGCATAAAAATCAACATATCACCTTCCAACTGCTGAAGATGTATCTGCAGAGCTTGCTTGACCGCTGAATCTACGTAATCTTCGCAAACATTTTTGCTAAACATGATATCTACCGGGTAGCATCGTCCGGGAATTGTAAATGTTGGTACGTTTCCAAAGAATGTGGCAAATTTGGTGGCATCCATAGTCGCAGAAGTAACAATCAACTTCAAGTCCCTCCTCCGAGCGACGATGTCTCTCAGCAATCCAAACAGGACATCCGTAGACAGGGAACGTTCGTGGGCTTCATCCATGATTACCGCAGAGTACCCGTCCAGATCGCTGTCTCTTAAGCTTTCTCGCAACAGGATACCATCAGTCATGTACTTGATGACTGTCTTTTCAGAGGTACAATCCTCAAATCGGATAGCATACCCAATTTCCTGTCCCAGCTTGGTGTTCATTTCATCCGACACACGTTTAGCTACCGACATGGCTGCTACTCTTCGAGGTTGGGTACATCCAATCATACCCAATCGACTGTATCCATCTTCGTGCAGGTACTGGGTCAACTGGGTCGTTTTTCCACTACCGGTTTCACCAACAATAATAACCACCGAATTTTCACGAATTACATTCAGTAAATCCTGCCGCACGGCGAACACAGGAAGCGATCTACGCTGTTCATAGATGGGTCTCTTCTTGATGAACTCAGCATCGTTGTCTTGGGCCTGCATGTGATCCGCAAACTTTTGATCCTTCCGATAATCCGCTGTATCCGTATCGGCATCATACTTGGAATCGTCGTCATCTTGTTTTTTGGCCACTCCCATAATATTTCCCAGCTTTGTACCGCCCAGTTCCCAATGCTTTTTCTGGGCTTTCCTTCTTTCTTTCTGCTCGCGGTAAGTCCTTACCAGTAGACTTCCTTTTCTAGCGACCATTGCCATATCCGAAGTTGCGTCCTTCACCGGAATAACGGGTTCCGGTTGCTTTGTAAACACAATGCGCCCATCCAAAAATGGAGGAACCGTATGATGCACCAACAGATGTACTCGTTCCACAGCTTCCTCGTCAAAGTCCTCGTTGAAATTGATCGACATCACCACTCCAGAAGTGAGCAAACGATTCTTCTCCCACAACTCATTGTCTTTGTTGATCTGCCGTTGTTGAGCTGACATTCGTTTAATCCTACGTTGCTCTAATTGTTCCTCTCGTTTCTGCAAATACTCCGAACTGGTACCGGAGAATGGATTATTTTCTTCGTCATATCCCTCGCCAATGCTGTACCATTCGCGATCCAAACGAACTTGCTCCTTTTCCCACAGATCTTTATCTTCTTCCGATTCCCAAGGGACGTTCTTCTTACTACCGTGCGGGGTGGCACCAGATTCCTTTCGATCTGGTGCCCATTTGTTGTACTTGTGTGCCGGAGTTGGTCGAGGTGTGTCCTCTTCTCTGCCTCTCCGGGAAGATGGCGGGCGGCTACTGCGCACAGATTCCGACCCTTTCGGTATCTTAGGCGTAGGATAATCCCACGATGATTTACGCGAACTCGAAGCTTGTCTGTCATCGTCGTCCTCCCATCCAAAGGCATCCATTCTACGGTCGCTTCGAGGCGTTCGTGGTTCATCTTTATAATGGCTAAAATATATAGATAAAATACGTTCAACACAAATTAGTTAAAATCTACTTCAAAAATTAATTTACCCTGGCGTTCGGTGCGATGATTCTCCTCGATGGCTTCTGGAACTGCTCGACGAAAACTTGTGCCGCTGACGATCGTCATCGCGGTCGTCTCGTTCGCGATCCTTCTTGGATTTAGTCGATGCATACAAACCTTTTCCCTGGTAATCTTCCTTGGAGCGTTCATCTAAACGCTTCCTAGCTGCTTCACTCACTCCTCCGGTGTAGGAAGGCGTTTCCACAGCACTTTCTCTATACTTCTTCGATGCTGACGACGACGACGATGATGATGAAGAGTGCTTATTTCGGTCACGCCTCTCGGAGTAATCCCTGGTATCATCTTCATCATCCAAATCATTTCCGTCCGAATCTTTAAAAGATAGTCGTGCCGCTTCCTGTTGTTTCCGGGCCCTCTGGGTTGCTGCTAGCCTGTCCAGCCCCAGCAAGGACGGTTTCGGTTTCTTGAAAACGTCCTTGTCTTTGTCGGATTCTTTTTTCTTTATTATAAGACCACCAACACTGCTGCCACTTTGTTCCAACTTACACACATCGGAGAACTTATCCATGATGACTTTCAACGTTACTAATTAGCAAAATGAATCAATATTTGAAATCATTTTCCAAAATTAATCGAAAACGTTTGGAATTTGCTTTCAGTTCGGTTCGCCAATGAAAAGTACGCACAAGGAACGTAGCCACACACCATAACAAAGATTGACAGTTTACAGTGGTCATCCTTGTATCACGCCACTACAATGAAGATGTAATTTTGCAAACGAGAAACCAAGATATGTAAATAAGGATAGGAATTTACAATATCCTCCTTCTAAAAAGGCTGTCCACGAGACAGTTGCGATCCGCTGACTTTTTTTGTTAACCAAGAACTTTTGACAGATCACAGTAGAACTCATAGTTAATTCTCATATTTCTGCTTTGTTTATGTTTACATTCAGCACCATTAACACCAGATCACTCACACACTCTAGATTTCTAGCTGTCAGATTCACTAAGAAACGTCTCTTGGATCACCTTATTCTTTGGTGCAAACTCGGGTGCAAACAATGTAAATATTTACCTATTTTGACAAAACCCAGGTAATCATGACGTTTGATTATTGAAAACAATATGAATGAAGAAAAGAGACCAACTGCTGTCATGATTACCTGAGATTTGTCAAATAATGTAAATATTTACATCGATTGCATCGAAGAATACGACAAAATCATGGCAGGGCAATCGAGGATTTACTCACTAATCAAAATGTCAAATCGGTACTAAAAAATCAAAACAATCAGACAGCATGCTTACAGTAGAGTCTGTGTACAATGTCGTTTTCGTTCTTGCGGTGTAGCTACATAGAGGTAACTATTATCCGAGGTATTATCGACCGGTGGAAACTAAAACCATAGAGGTAACTCTAAGACCACTGGGTCCCGAAGAAAATCATTATTATTTTTGGCTCACTCAGTACCAGAACAACGGTCCCAAGCAGTCCCAAGCTATTTCACTCACCCCTGCATGTTCTGCATAAATCCACACACCCCTGATGTTATCTGTCAAACTTTCATAGCGAATCAAAACAAACATAGTGTAGTAATAGAATTTCAACTAGAATAGGGTACGTTAATCGTTTGCTTGGGACCAATAGGCTACTAAAGTGGTGAGCCAATTTAAAATCGTTAGTTTCGTATTGATTGTTGCTAAAACGCTGTCCAGACTGGAGAGTTATAACAACGGGTGGAAACTAACGATTTTAAATTGATTCACGCTTGAGTAGCCTATTGGTCCCAAATACTTCTATGGCGTATCCCATTCTTGTTGAAATTCTATTACTACACTATGTTTGTTTTGATTCGCTATGAAAGATTGACAGATAACATCAGGGGTGTGTGGATTCATGCAGAACATGCAGGGGTGAGTGAAATAGCTTGGGACTGCTTGGGACCGTTGTTCTGGTACTGAGTGAGCCAAAAATAATAATGATTTTCTTCGGGACCCAGTGGTCTTAGAGTTACCTCTATGGTTATAACATGTTATAAAGGTTGTCAACTAATTCCAACACATAAACCACCATCAAGATAGCGCTATAACATGTTATAACTCTGTAGTCTGAACGTACTATAACACTCATAAATTTCGACACATTTTATTGGCGAATTTCCATGTAAAATTCCCCATGATTTTCATGTGTCCACACATAAACATAATCCACTCAGAAGTACGCATGAAATTTATGAGTCAAATGAATAGTATGTGTGGTTACACATGAATTTGACGTGTACACATAAGATCTATGTGCCCGACACATATATACCACAGACAAATAGACATAACACATTGAATATTTCTCACTGTAAAGCATCGTCGCTAAAACATTACCGCCATCTGTTGAGTACACTGTGGTGGGTAGTACGCTGAACAGATGGCGGTAGTGTGTAAACGTCAAACGCAAGGGAATTGACTATGCGCGCCACAGGTGGTGGTACTACCAATTACGATACTTTTAAATTGACCGTTAAATGCTTGTTCGATGACCATTTTGCGAGTGTTATGTCTGTTTGTCTGTGTATATATCATTTGTTTATCACATTGCAAAAATTCATTTGTGGGACACATAAAAATAATCATTGAATTTTTATTAGTGAACGATTTAAAATTGGCTCACTAATTGACTATTGGTCCCAAACAAATCGATTAACGTACCCCATTCTAGCCGAAATTTTACTACTACACTATGTTTGTTTTGATCTGCTATGAAAATTTGACAGGGGTTGATTTTCCTATGTTTCGAGGGGTGAATCAATTAGCTTGGGACCGAAGATGGTACCAGAACTTAGCCAAAAAGTTGAGCACTTTTCTTCGGGACCTTCTGGTCTTAGAGTTACCTCTATGGTATTATCCTTGGATTAAATCCTGACCAAGAATGTTCGTCTGCTTTGATGTCGTCATCAGAGTTGATAAACACAACTCTAAGCAAACATTTTGCAGATCATCCATACAGGGACGGTATTAAAAGTTAATCCGAGTTGGAGCTTACCGCCATTAGAGTTAAGGCCCAATCGTAATGACAGCGGAAGCGGAACGGCAGCGGCAGCGAAAAAGACAGATCTGAGTAAGCCAACTTGTCGGATTGAAAACTAGTTAGAACCAAATCGACTTCGGTTAGGCATCTTGAGGTCATTTGTGACAACTGTCAAACTTTCCGTTTCCTCTCCGCTTCCGCCCACATTGTGTTTAGGCTTATATGCTACAATCATGTCTTACAAATAAATTACTGTAGCGTAGCGTGAAGGTTGCAATCCGTGCATGGGGCTTATCATCTCACATTTTACGATGAATATCGGTTAATATGAATCTTTTCCAAGGTGTTATAAAACATGTTTAACGCTACGAACACGATGCCTCCGGCGAGGCATCCGGTAAAATGTAAAAAGGTAAAATGTGTAGTTTTCACTGGAAATCATATGTATGAGTGCTCATTGCAAGACAACCTATATTACAAGATGTAAGCCATAGTCTGTACGGGGTATAAAGTATATAGTTTCAAATGGCGTCAATAGATTTGAAGTTCGTCAATAAATGGCTGAGCTATGATTTTTCAAACATTGCAAGTTTGTCGTTACACGTTTTACCGGAGGCATCGTGTTCGGTGTGTTAATAAATATTTTACAATTCTGCCAATTATTTATACAAATGCTAACACAAACAATAAATTATGGTGCGCAAAAATCGAGCTGTCTCTGTACCAGGTAACATACCACAGAATAACCAGATCAGACCACAATCTTTGAAAAAATTCAGAAAGTGATTCACTGCTGCATGAGATTGTTCAATAATGAGCGCCTTAAAATGAAAGTTCAAAAAATATAGGTACCTAAATACAACTGAATGTCAAATATGCGTCTAGAAAAGCTTCAATTATCACTTAAAACCCTTAAAACCCGTAGTTATATTTATACCTGTACGTGGATCGCCTCGTAAATGCAGTACGCTAGCTGTCACACACGGTCGATGCGCTACATATATCTGTGGTACGACGTCAAACACAAATCAGCGCGTTTGTATTCCAGACTCTCGCTGGAGTTGTGGAAGTAGAACGTTAATTCAGGCATAAGCGCACAAATTAGTCCTGGATTGTTACATCCGTCGAGTTAACGCAATACAGTACAAGTGGTTCGGAGCTTATTTCGGACGATGGCAAAAACCAAGTTAAACACTGAAGCCGAGAATGGTGGCAAATCATCGCCACCAGCAGAATCTGCAACGGCCTCGTCATCATCATCAGGGCCGACTCCAGTTGTCCCACTGGACAATGATAACATTTCAACCCGTGTCGGTACCAGAACTAAGGTAATTCTTTAATGATTTTCACTTATTATTTATACGATTAAGTAACAATATGGTTCACAAAATTTGCAGAAAGCAAAAGTCGTGTTCGATCCATCTGATAATTATGTACCAAGGAAACGCGTACGCAAAAACGATTTGCCACAGCCGGAATCACCTGTGGGTTCATCTTCAGCGAAATTGGAAGCTGTGGTTCCTAAATCGCCAGCTAAGTCGGATGGGCTGAGCGACAATAACAATGGAAGTGTAGCTAAGCCACGATTAGCGCTTAGTCCCACGATTGCCACAAAACAAACAACTGGTCACACATACAGACCAAAAGTTCTTGGCAGTGGTCCATCAACAGAAGCTGCCCGGCTGGTGGGTACAACCGGTGGAAATATGGAGCCTGCTTCTCCTCGAAAACATGATTTCAAACGGGAACCCAATTGCGACATGTGTCACAAGGTTGAACAACAACGACGTGGATTCAAGCTAATTGATTGCTCTAGCTGTGCTTTTCGAGGTAGTTTGAATCCTCTAATACATTATTGATCATTCAATGGTTTCTAATCAATTTAATTCATTACTAGCTCATTCAAAATGTTTGCGAGCCCATCCCGTTTATCAAAAGTTTCCGATCAGACTAAACTTTCGCTGCTTTCAGTGCATCGAATGCGTCGTATGTGGAAAATCGTTGCGGGGTGTAAGTTGAATTATTTATCTTTTCCTCGCCATCCACACTACAGAGAACATTTCCGTTTTCAGGGAAATTTGCTATTCTGTTGTGACTGCCAGAATGCTTTCCACGCAAATTGTCACGGACCATCTGCGTCGAGTAGCAGCAACTCCAACAGCCCTTGGGTTTGCAAACGTTGCTTAGGCGAACGCAGCCCGGTGAAGCAGTCTCGATCTCAAGAAAATCAATCCGTTGTTGATCGCCCGGAATCGGAAGACAATGCCGACGATGAAGCTCACCAGGAATTCGCGGGTTTCAGTGATAATGAAATCAGAAAAGATTCGTTTTCTCTGTCAGATTCAGCACCAGTGAATGACAGTGTCATTCAACCGGACGAGGACGACGACGACGACGACGAGGAAGAAGCAGATGAAGAACCTGACCAGGATGACACGGTGGAGGACAAAGATGTTGGTAATGAAGAGGAAAAGTTCGATCCTCGTCTTGATAACTTTGAGGACATACAAAACTGGTCTTGCGATGATGTGTATCAATATTTCAAGCACTATTTTCCCGACTATGCTCATTTGTTCAAGGAACAGGTAAACTATGAGGAACAATTTGCGCCATCGTAACATTTGCCGTAACCCAACTTGTGTTTCAGGAAATCGATGGACCATCGTTGATTCTGATGAGAAAATCAGATATCTTGTCTGGGTTTGGATTGAAACTTGGTCCTGCAATAGCGCTGTACCAACGGATCGTCATGATGCAGAACAATGATAGGGATTTTCGTCTCACTTGGATTTGAATTACGAAATGTTGGATGTTCTTTTCAATGCTCATTTTCGGATTGAGCAAACTTAATACTAATAAGTTGGATAATTTTCAATTAGTTTGTAATGAAACTTATTTTAGGTGAATTTATTCGTAACGCGCAGAGTATAAAATTATTTCATTGAAATAAAAACGCACTTCAAAGGTTCTGTCTACTACATTTCATTTGAGTTAAGTTTTAGTTCACGATGTGTGATATGTCTTATCAAATAAATAGTAGGTACATAGAATATTCCGCCTATAGATTCACATTCTAACATTGCATCAACGCAACAACTATAGTAGCATAAGCATAAAAATAAGTTACATTTTCTGGTCAGCATAAAATGCGAGCGGGATGTGAAGTGGGCGGGATTGATATTACCGAGGGGCCCCTCGGAAGGGACAGCGATGCCATATATCCTGATTTTTTGTACACGAAAAAAGTTGGGACCCCTTCGATATGAGTCAAGGCCCAAACGCAATGTGGGCGGAAGTGGAACGGAAACGGAAAGTTTGACAGTTGTCACAATTGACAGCAAGATGCTCAACCGAAGTCGATTTGGTTCTACCTAGTTTTCAAACCGACAAGTAGGCTTACTCAGATTGGGTTTTTCCGCTGCCGCTGCCGTTCCGCTTCCGCTGTAACTGCGCTTGGGCCTTCAGGCTGTGTTCCAATTGGTGAATTTTCATTTAAATTTGACGCTTCAAAATTAAATTAAGATGTTCGAAAATCCCTCTGTTGTTGATCTTCCTATTTTCGAGAAGATGTTTGTCAAAATTGATTCCTGGTCTGTCAGAAATAAGTCTGGTACAATGGCAGGTTTATTTGAAAATTTTCCATCTATCAAATTTAAGTGAAAATTCACCACATGGAACACAGTCTCAGAGAGCGAGAGAGCAACTTCTTCTTAGGCTGTTTTCCATTTGGTGAATTTTCGTTTAAATTTGACAGATTGATTTTCGAATAAACCTGGTACTATAGACTTATTTTTGACAGACCAGGAGTCAATTTTGACAAACAACTTCTCAAAAATCAGAAGATTAACAACAGAGGGATTTTCGAACAATATTTTTTATTTTCGAAGCGTCAAATCTACGTGAAAATTTTACAAATGTAACACAGCCTTAGGCTGTGAACCATTTGCCGAGTTGAATTATGTTCGAAAATCCCTGTGTTACCGATCGATCGCTTATCGAGCAGAACTCAGCCACGGTTGTCAAAATTTAACTTCTTGTCTTCTAAAGCCACAGCTTTATAAACAGCTTTTGCGCTGAATGACACACGATTCAAGGAATGTGTTTGCAGCTGAATTATTAACGAAAGAGAAAGTTGATGAAGAGAATCGATCAAACTCACTTACACCCCTTTACTTCTAATCCCCTCAAATATTGGTTGTTTCGAAATTGCGTGTATATATAAAAAATAGTTTTATATTATAATATTTCAAAAACAACATGGCTGAATCCTGAATTAATTTGACACATTAGAACACCTATATCACAGACAAACAGACATAACACTCGAAAGTTGTTCATCGAACAAGCATTTAACGGTCAATTTAAAAGTATCGCAGTTGGTAGTACCGCCACCTGTGGCGTGCATAGTCAATTCCCTTGCGTTTGACGTTTACACACTACCGCCATCTGTTCAGCGTACTACCCATCACAGTGTATTCAGCAGATGGCGGTAATGTTTTAGCGACGATGTTTTACAGTGAGAAATATTCAATGAGTTATTTCTGTTTGTCTGTGCCTATATGCTAAGAGAAGAGATGACAATACGGGAGCGAAAATGAACCACTTTTCTGTCAAGCGTGAACCAGCTCCTGATTGGCCGATTTCATGTGCGCAAGATAGAAATAGAGATAGATAAAGATAGAGATAGCGATAGAAATAAAAGAGGAAGAAGCCAATTGTCACCTCTTCCTCTTAGCCTATGTGTAGCTTGGAGTAAACTAAAGGCCGGCGCACACTGGATAAGTTTTCTATAGTCACTATATTCATAGTCTGGCAGATAGAATTCCGATCTATCAAAAAGTGGAACCAATTCAATATATTTTAGATCAACAATTGAAAAGGTACTATCAACTTTAATAAACAAAACATTGATTATTCTTTCCTCGTCAATCGAACGCAAATTATCGGCATCATCGGATAGGGGAAACTTTTCTCAACCTAAGTTTGGTGTTAGTTTGCGTAGGCGAGCCTTGAGTCACGAGAAAAGCGTTTCCGAAGTTTTGTTCGCAATAGCTAATGTGCTCTTTTCTGTTGTTGGTCGTGATTTGCTCGATTGGTTCCGCTATTTGACAGCTCAATTGGTTCCCGAGATTCTATCCGCCAGACTATGAATATAGCGACTATAAAGTTTTCGGGTTTTTTGACAGTTAGCCATGTGTTATCTGTCGAAAACCCGGAAGATTTTACATTGTGCGCCAGCCTTAAGGCTCTGAACCATTTGGCGGATTATTTTATATCGAAAATCGGTCGATCGATAAGACAGGGATTTTCGAACAAGGAAAATAACTTTCGAAATGTCACTTTTAACCACGAGTTAAATTTAACTCGTGGTTAAAAGCGACGTTTCGAAAGTTATTTTCTGTGTTCGAAAATCCCCGTGCTGTCGATCGACCGGTTTTCGACCCACGGTTGTCAAAATTTTGCGCAAAATGCGCCAAATCCCGTTGTCCATTTGTCAACTTGTCACTGCCTCGCTGCCAACATAGTTTACCTATTTTTGGGTAGGTGACCAATCTTGGTGGATTCATCACAAATTTGGGTTGTTTTGAAAAAGCGTGAGCGTGATATTATATCCCGCCTGTCTTGACAGCCGAAGATTATGTTTATTTGTTTACCTTCACATTTCGCTTCATGCTCTCGCTCTTCTTTCTTTCCAAAACAATTTACTATCTTCGATTTACTAGAATAATACAAATCCAATTTTCTATTATCCAAATTGTTTAAAAATGGTGAAAACAATAGATGAGAACGAAAATGGAGAAAACTACATTTGTGTTCCAGGGCAGAGGCTATGTGCGGTTACCGAGTACACGGTGGGCGGTGAAGGTACCTACGAAAAATTAGGTTACTTGCACGCTAGTCTATCCGGCGTAGTGAGAATCCGTAAGCGGCACAAGGTATATTGAGTATCGCTTATGTTGTTGATATGGGTATGTGATTGTTGGTTTCATTCGGCAGAACAATTATATCTCTGTGGCATCCTTCGGAAGCAAGACAGTGGTACCAGTCGTAGGAGACGTCGTTACCGCCAAGATCACAGTTATAAATCAACGGTTTGCTAAATGTGTTATCATTTGTATAGGAAAAACATGTCTCAACAGAACTTACAGGTAACAAAGTGTTTGCATTCTTTATTTAACATTGGTTTCATTAACAATCTTGTCCGATAGAGGGATTCTGCGAAAGGAAGACGTACGTGCAACGGAAAAAGATCGCGTTGAAATGTACAAATGCTTTCGACCGGGTGATGTCATCCTGGCGCGAGTGGTAATGCAACAGTTACAATATCTAGATCTCAGGGTATTGATAGTTCTAATAATTTTTATATTATCTTCTAGCTCCCACTAGTTGAACTAAACACATATCACTTGACTACGGCTGAAAATGAGCTTGGTGTTGCAGTCGCTATGTCAAACAAAAGCTCCGAACCTACACCTATGGTCCCAGTCGGCTGGACAGAGATGCAATGCCCAGTAACGTTGGCTAAAGAACCTCGAAAAGTTGCGAAGATTGTTCCAGAAACTGCGCCACCTAATTATGATGGAAAGCTTTAAAACTTGGATCATAAATAAAATATTTTCACGCCCCTTAACCGACCGGGACGGAGTTTGATTTACTCTAATGGCTCGTTTTCGACGACTACGTAACTAATTTGCAATCTGATTTGATGATTGGCCAAACCATAGCTCACGCTCGTCTTATTATGATCCTCCCCCTGTTTGTGGGGGGGGGTGTGAATATGAGTGTGGCATTTGTAATATTTCTTACTAACAGCAGCTATATTGACGAAATGTGTGCAATACATCATTTAACTTTATAAGACTCAAAAACTAATCATTCATAACCATGATATCATATTGCACCACAATGGCCATGTGGTGACCCAGGAACAGGTTCCGGAAGCTTTGGGGGGAAGTGGTCAATTTGCATTACAACAGAAACCTATCGAGCAACATATCATCGATCTCAGAATTTTGTGGACATAATATCTTGTTTGACAGACATATCATCTTGTTTTAATCACATTTGATGATGGGGCCCCGCAGGGACCTCCCTTAGCTCAGTCAGTAAAGGCACAGCTACAAAGCAAGACCATGCTGGAGGTGGCTGGGTTCGATTCCCGGGCCGGTGTAGGAATTTTTCGGGTTGGAAAATTTCTCGACTTCCCTGGGCATAGAGTATGATTGTACTTGCCATACAATTATACCAATGCAAAAATGATACAGGCATCGAAAGCTCTCTATTAATAACTGTGGAAGTGCATATAGAACACTAAGTTGAGAGCACGCAATAAGCTAATATGCCATACGCAATAAGCTTGAAATGCGAGGAAGAAGAAGAAGAAGAAGAATGGGGCCCCACAACAGTATCCGGAAGCCTGGGATAAAGTGGTAAGTTTTTCACTACAACGACCTATCGCGCAACAAATTTGGTACATATACCAGGGAAAGACATATCTTTTTTGGGACGCAATAGCGTGTATTGGCTTAGGAATAGGTTCCGGAAGTCTTAGTTGAAGTGGTCAAATTTTCATTGTAACATAAATCTATTGAGTGACACATCTATTCTGCGCGGCGTGTGACGCTAGGTGACTCGCTGTCACTAATGAAGTGACAATTGCCAGCTCAGGTGAGGTGACTCTCCATTTGATATGCACGGAGATTCACCTCACCCGAGGTGACAATTGTCACCTCACCATCACTACACTGTCACCTCACCTCACCTCACACGCCGCGTAGAAGTAGGCCTAATAATTAATCATGTTTTGTTGTCTTTGACATCATCCACATCCAGAGGGCCAGTCACGTTCGAATGTATGGGAATGGTAGGAAACCATTTGGAAATACATGAAAATTTTCAGTTTTTATTCATTATCGTTTTTATGGGCAGTTTTAAATGCACGAGTACATTACTATAGTGATAAGGTGATAAGGTAAACGCTCGTTTATTTGTTTCCTTCTGTGAAAGTATATTATTTAGTCACAAATCGTGGATTTTCTGATATTCTCCATACTGCAAAAATGATTTTCCTACCACTGAAGGGGCGACATCTCTCGGATCTTCAGTATAGCTACTACTCAAATCATATAATTAATTCAAAACCATACTTGAAAGCTCAACTAGATAGATGGTTGCTGGTTTTTACAAAGCTGATCAGATTTATAAGACCTATTGTACGGTGATCAGTTTAGTTGACAATTTATTCACCAGTGTACGAACTGATTTGCTTTCCTTGGCCGAGTTATACAGATGCATAAGACCTGTTAGATGGTACACAGTATAGTTTAAAATTTTGTCACCACACTGAAAATATGTTTCCGTAAATTCTCTTCTTTCTCTCGTATAATAAAAATAGGTTTCGTAGATATAACATATTGTTCGAAAATTTTACGAAATATTCGTATTGCCTGCCATCGGGAAAAATGGTAATATCATAGAGGTAACTCTAAGACCACTGGGTCCCGAAGAAAATCATTATTATTTTTGGATCACTCAGTACCAGAACAACGGTCCCAAGCAGTCCCAAGCTATTTCACTCACCCCTGCATGTTCTGCATGAATCCACACAACCCTGATGTTATCTGTCAAACTTTCATAGCGAATCAAAACAAACATAGTGTAGTAATAGAATTTCAACTAGAATAGGGTACGTTAATCGTTTGCTTGGGACCAATAGGCTACTAAAGTGGTGAGCCAATTTAAAATCGTTAGTTTCGTATTGATTGTTGGTAATATTACGCCTTAGTCGTACAATACACGAACTGAATTTCGTACGGACCTGTAAACTGCTGCGTTTCTCGTCTTCTAGTGTCCGTTCATATTTGTGTTACTTCTGTTGTTGATGACTGTGATGCGTTGAGTTGTGTGTGTTCAACACACTGTGTTGGAATGCTTTATGTTGCTGCTTTTATCCTACTTAACATTGTTGCTGAGGATAATGCTAATGAGTTTGTTTGACAACCTATATGAATGTGTAATCGTCAAAATGACGTTGGAGATGGGTCGAGTCCACATCGTGCTCTCTTGCCGTGCGGATCTATTTGCTCTTTGCTGAAGGAAGTGTTACCAACAATCAATACGAAACTAACGATTTTAAATTGGCTCACTACTTGACTAGCATATTGGTCTCAAGCAAATCGACTAACGTACCCCTTTCTAGTCGAAATTCTAGTACCACACTTTGTTTGTTTTGATTCGCTATGAAAGTTTGACAGATAAAATGAGGGGTTAGTGGATTTTCCTATGTTTCGAGGGGTGATTCGATTAGCTTGGGACCGAAGATAGTACCAGAGCTGAGCCAAAAAGTTGAGCTCGTTTCATCGGGACCTTCTGGTCTTAGAGTTACCTCTATGGTGTTACCAACAATCAATACGAAACTAACGATTTTAAATTGGCTCACCACTTTAGTAGCCTATTGGTCCCAAGCAAACGATTAACGTACCCTATTCTAGTTGAAATTCTATTACTACACTTTGTTTGTTTTGATTCGCTATGAAAGTTTGACAGATAACATCAGGGGTGTGTGGATTCATGCAGAACATGCAGGGGTGAGTGAAATAGCTTGGGACTGCTTGGGACCGTTGTTCTGGTACTGAGTGAGCCAAAAATAATAATGATTTTCTTCGGGACCCAGTGGTCTTAGAGTTACCCAACTAACATTTTCAGCTTTGTAAGCCAACTTTTCCAGCGTTGTGCCGTAAAGTAGCTGAAATGAAGCTGCAGATACAGCTACAAGCAAAAGCTAACGAAATAGTTTTGGAGAGCGTTTACTCAACTTTCTCACAACCATTATTCAATTTGTCAGTCGCACTGAATAACATCAGCCAATAAACGCTAATGTCACTTCTATACACATACTACCCAACTTTCAACTTGTAGCTGCAAAACTAAGCTAACAAAGTGAATATATTACTCATTTGATGGCTTCTATACACAACCAACCACTCTTGCTGAATAACATAAACCTCAAAAGTGCTTTTTCAACAACTAAACAACCTGTACTCAGCTTATAAACTGTGTTAGAGCAACTTCGGAAGCATTTTCACAGTCAACTAGGTTTATTTTTAGACGCGTGCAGTTTTACAGCTTTTACTCTGTTCTTTTATAACTAGTCGAGAAAAGTGATTCATGTGTACTATTATAAAGCCTCTACTCAGCGATTTTGTTGTAGAAGGGCATGTTGATTTGTTTACATAAGTTCAAATTGTTGGCGTAGCCCAGTTGGTAGTGTCAAGGTTTGCCAATGATGTCGTCTCGAGTTCGATTCCAGGTTCCGGTGCAGGGTAAACAATTTGGTGATGATTTGTAACACATTTCGATTAATTTGATTCACAGCAAAATAAACTCAATAAATTCCTTCATAAAAAAAAGCGTAAACAGTATTTAACCCGGCTTCAAGAGAAAGCTGTGTAGTGATTATTGGATAACCGGGAAAAGGTTGAATAAGCGCCTTTCAAGTTCACACACAGCTAAACAGCAGGATAACAGCTGTATAGGAGCGTTAATGGATATGCAATAAGAGCTTCTCCCGACCGTTCCAACAGCCATAAGTAGCTGACTAAGTTCGCCAGATTTGCTTATATAGAGGTTGAGTAAAGGTTTCCTCATATCGTATAACGTTTGAATACAGCTTGAGACTGTATAAATGAAATGAGTAAAGCGTTTACATTGTGAAAATTGTTAGTTGGGTACCTCTACACGGATAGAAATCTCCTTATACCTTTTGGCAAATTTCCATTGCTGATTATTCATAAATTGTATAAGTCGACTAATAAGCAGACGCCTTGCAAAAAGTTAATAAAGATCATGTGTCAAATGAAATGTATAAGCGGTCACACATACCTTTTAAGCATTCTAATAGGACCTATGTGGTTTGTCTTATGGAATGTATAAGGCTGATGCTTTGGCTAAAATGTATAAGTGAAACACATGAATTAAATAATTGATTTTCGTTTCGTGTATGGTGTTACTGCTACAACAAATTTAAACAGCACTTTTGAGTGCTCAATATACCCATAGAGGTAACTCTAAGACCAGTAGGTCCCGATGAAACGAGCTCAACTTTTTGGCTCAGCTCTGGTACTATCTTCGGTCCCAAGCTAATCGAATCACCCCTCGAAACATAGGAAAATCCACTAACCCCTCATTTTATCTGTCAAACTTTCATAGCGAATCAAAACAAACATAGTGTGGTACTAGAATTTCGACTAGAAAGGGGTACGTTAGTCGATTTGCTTGGAACCAATATGCTAGTCAAGTAGTGGCCAATTTAAAATCGTTAGTTTCGTATTGATTGTTGATATACCTGTACATGTTCTACCTTGTTCGGCTCTTATTCCTCTTCGATCCTTGTTTGGACTCTATCCGAGATAATCCTGCTTCGCTAGCGATTTGGAAAATTCCTATTCGATCTTATACACGAAACGAAAATCAATTATTTTATTAATGTGTTTCACTTATACATTTTTGCCAAAACATCAGCCTTATACATTCCATAAGACAAACCACATAGGTCCTATAAGAATGCATAAAAGGTATGTGTGACCGTTTATACATTTCATTTGACACATGATCTTCATTAACTT